ACAACCCTCTATACAATCTAATATCAACCCTCTATACAATCTAATATCAACCCTCTATACAATCTAATCACAACATTCTATACAATCTAATCACAACATTCTATACAATCTAATATCAACCCTCTATACAATCTAATCACAACCTTCTATACAATCTAATCACAACCCTCTATACAATCTAATCACAACCCTCTATACAATCTAATCACAACCCTCTATACAATCTAGTCACACCATCCCCCCCCTCCCTTATACCATCTAATCACAACTCCCAATACAATCTAATCACACCCCCCGCCCCATACCATCTAATCACAACTCCCAATACAATCTAATCACAACTCCGAATACAATCTAATCACAACCCGATATATATTCTACAGCTTATACCTTCTAAATGTAGAAAATGACCCAATGCAACCCAGTAACCCAGTAACCCAGTAACCCAGTGACCCAGTAACCCAGTAACCCAAACTACACGATTCTTTACCCGGCCACTTAACCAACAGAATACGTCGCTGTGTATAAACAACAAATCATTTTGCCTATTGAACTCATTATTTCTGTGTACCTTATGCAACCAGTAAGTGACATTTTAAACCAACAAATCACTTTACCATATAATACAATAACACACTGTACCTTACATAGTCAACAATTGGCTATAGCTTCTCTGACTGTTTTAATCAGAACGATCTTAAATTCAGAAATTCTAGCACGTCTATCTGCAAAGAGTTTAGCCTTTTGAGCCATGTTCGGTCAGCTGGGTGAGACGAGCCTGCGTGTCCAATTCTTAACCCTTTGAAAATTTTGAAAATATAGTTTGTTCGTTTGTTGGTTCGTTCGCTCGCTGGCTCTCCATTGCTTGCTGTCCTAGAATATTCTAGACCAGGGGCAAATGAAGACACCGAGTTGATGTCACTGAAAAATATATGTCTAAAACACCAAGAGAAGATGAACAAAGAATACAAACTCTTGTTTCTGCAACATCAAGGCGAGATGAACAAAGAATACAAACTCTTGTTTCTACAACACCAAGAGAAGATGAGCAAAGAATACAAACTCTTGTTTCTACAACAACAAGAGAAGATGAACAAAGAATACAAACTCTTGTTTCTACAACACCAAGACGAGATGAACAAAGAATACAAACTCTTGTTTCTACAACACCAAGACGAGATGAAGAAAGAATACAAACTCTTGTTTCTACAACACCAAGACGAGATGAACAAAGAATACAAACTCTTGTTTCTACAACACCAAGACGAGATGAACAAAGAATACAAACTCTTGTTTCTACAACATCAAGACGAGATGAACAAAGAATACAAACTCTTGTTTCTACAACAACAAGACGAGATGAACAAAGAATACAAACTCTTGTTTCTACAACAACAAGACGAGATGAACAAAGAATACAAACTCTTGTTCCTACAACATCAAGACGAGATGAACAAAGAATACAAACTCTTGTTTCTATAACATCAAGACGAGATGAACAAAGAATACAAACTCTTGTTTCTACAACATCAAGAGAAGATGAACAAAGAATACAAACTCTTGTTTCTACAATACCAAGACGAGATGAACGAAGAATACAAACTCTTGTTTCTACAACACCAAGAGAAGATGAACAAAGAATAGAAACTCTTGTTTCTACAACACCAAGAGAAGATGAACAAAGAATACAAACTCTTGTTTCTACAACATCAAGACAGATGAACAAAGAATACAAACTCTTGTTTCTATAACTTCAAGACAAGATGAACAAAGAATACAAACTTTTGTTTCTACAACATTAAGACGAGATGAACAACGAAAAGAATACGTATCTCTTACTTGCTTTTGTGTTTCTCCATTCACATACACTCCGTCATGTCCTGAACATTTATAAAGGTCATAATTAGGTGAATATACAAGCAGGGGGTTATTGTATCGAAAGAAAAGTCTGTAATGACAAGCACTGACACGCAAAGAAAACACCAAGAAATGAGTATATCATGACAGACACCAAATGACCCCCCCCCCCCCCCCCCCCCAAAGGATCAGAAATTAGGCACGCGGGGAAACTAACACAAAAAGTAAGTGTATACAGAAAAAAAAGCACATTTATAATTAGGTAGAAAGTTAACACAAATTAGGAAGTCTATTTTTTTTTAAAGAGACAAACTGGGAAGAAAAAAGAAAGGGAAAAAAAGGGAGGGGCAGGGGGGTTTTGAAAGAAGAATAAGTAAACAACATACATGTACAATATCAATGCGTGTGCAGACAGCTATCTCTGTAGCAACAAAAGTCTATCAAGGCTCTTGTCATCTCTGATTAGGTGTGTGTGGGTGTTTGCGTGCACATTGAATATTCAGTCCACCCAAATATTCTCAGTCTAAAATAATCAAAACCTCAATTTAAGTTCACACCCCCCCCCCACCCCCCGCCTCTGCCCACATCTACCCGCCCACATCCCCCCGCTCACATCCAACGCCCACATCCCCCCGCTCACATCCCCCGCCCACTTCCCCTCACTCACCCATTCCCCCTCCACCACTGACATCCCCCGCCCAAATCCCCCCCCCCCCACCAGACATCCCCCTTTCCCACAGGACTTTTCTTTATAAGACTACCTTCTCTGTAACGTGAACACATGTCTGTGTACATCGATGTACGTGAACACATATGTCTGTGTACATCGATGTATGTGAACACATATGTCTGTGTACATCGATGTATGTATTTTGTGGGTATAGTAACGCTCAGGCACTTGTAACATCAATCTGTAAAAATAAGCATGTAAATGTTCTGTGGTTTACAGCGAATCTCCGAAAGTTCTTCACCGATTGCTTTCAAATGTTCACACAACCTTGTCTTGACTGAGCCACAGCAACGCGTGGCGGGGTACAGCTAGTGTCATAAAAAAGAATGCTTGGATGGGCAGCAAAGAGATGACAGGCTTCAACAAACACGTACCTGTAGCCAGCAGGGGAGATAAGGTGTAGCCGTCATCATACACCGACCCTTCTTCTTCTTCTGCGCTGATCTCCTTTCTAAGACAAAAGATAGACATTGATACCGTACTTGTGCTGTAGTGTAGATACTTGTACATAAATAGATGTATTGCTTACAATAGGAGAACGGAGTTTAACAATAACGCACGCACACGCGCGCACGCACTCACGCACGCGCACACACAAACGCACGCACGCGCGCGCACGCGCGCACACACACACACACATATATATATATATATATATATATATATATATATATATATATATATATATATATATATATATATACTATTGTTAAGGATTTAGTAGTGATAATTTTTCAATATTATTTATTTAGATGACTTCCAGTCAATAAATATGGCGTGGTAATTTGATGTTTACTTTTCGGCCAGCTTGTCACTGGAGTCAATTTTGGACACTCCAGAGTGGACATTTGGTTAAACGTCTGAATGTGATAGTCTAGTTCAAATGTATGACATTCTAGAGAGTTTGAAAACACTGTGACGGTAGTCCAGCAAACCGACAGTGGTTTATTTAGTGCTCGTAGGATATCTCATGAGACGACGATTATGATACCTTCATACTCTTCTTCTTCTTCTTCTTCTACTTCTTCTGTGTTCATCCGAAGATGTAACTGGGTTGTGCTTATCTACAGCATGGCTGTGATATTTACGCCTTTCAGGGGACAAATCCGACTTCTACAGCCATATGTTGAACGGGTTAGCCTTCCCAGCATTCATGGTATGATAGCAAGAGGAGAGGCGACACAGAAAAAATCCTGAATTGTTTTGGAAGAGAACAGATCAAACTGTTTGGTCATGTAACAAGACAGACAACAGACAGAGCACCACAGAGAGCAATGTTATTCAGATTCAGCCGTGACAGAGGTCGACCATGCAGAAAATGGACCGCTCAAATAAAAATAGCCCGTTCTAGAGATCTCTTCCTGTCCTGATGCTTGAAGACGTCACAGAGATAGAGAAAAAAGAAGAGAGACTGCGATGCAACGGCGTGCTAGATGCAAGGTTAAGATCATTGCTTTGATGAGAAAATCTCATACAGCAATGGTGGATACGATACTGTTGTTGCATGACGTTGTACGGACAATGTATAACGTCATCTTGTTCTGTCTGCAACAAACAAGGTGTTTTTTGTCATTGTGAGCTTACATCAGGGACACCCGTCCTGGCTGCTTCTGGTCTCCTGGTTCTTCTTGGGTTACACCAGCCGCCCAGCTCCGGAGAGACTTCTCTGAAAGAGTTACAGAACACGGGAAGATCAATGATAGAGCAGACATGGTGAGGTGAAGGTGAAAACCTGGCGGAAGTATATGCTAGAACATGGTGAACATCATGAAGGGAACATTGTGAATATAATGGATGGAACATGGTGAACGTAATGAAGGGAACATGGTGAACATAATGGATTAAACATGGTGAAGATATCAGATAGAACATAGTGAATATAATGGATGGAACATTGTGAATATAATGGATGGAACATGGTGAATATAATGAAGGGAACATGGTGAACATAATGGATTAAACATGGTGAAGATATCAGATAGAACATGGTGAATATAATGGATGCAACATGTTGACGATAATGGATAAAACATAGTGCAGATAACGGATAGCATATAATGAACATAATGGATAGCATATGATGAAGATAGTGGATAGAACATCGTGTAATAAATCGTTAGAACATTGTGAATATGAGGAACAGAACCTGGTGAAGCTAAACAATAGAACATGATTGAGACTGGCAGAGAATAGATTCCTGCTGCCAAAGTCTGCACACACACACACACACTTACACACACACACACAGAGGCACAGAGAGAGACACAGAGAAACACAGAAAGAAATAGACATAGAGAGACAGACAGAGAAAGAAAGAGAGGCGCGCGAGAGAGAGGCAGAGAGAGAGACAGAGAGAGAGACAGAGAGAGAGAGAGAGAGAAAGAGAGAGAGACAGAGAGAGAGAGAGACAGAGAGAGAGAGAGACAGAGAGAGAGAGACAGAGAGAGAAAGAGAAAGAGAGAGAGAGACAGAGAGAGAGGGAGACAGAGAGAGACAGAGAGAGAGACAGAGAGAAAGAGAGAGAGACAGAGAGAGAGAGACAGAGAGAGAGAGAGAGAGAGAGAGAGAGAGAGAGAGAGAGAGAGAGAGAACGCAACTCAGACGCCGCCATGGCAGTCAACAAGGAGACCCCATCGCCATGCCATCGGAAACCGACGTTTTAGAGGGACCCACTCTGTGGACACCCCCAGATCCTCGAGGCATCATTAACTGACAGATCTGACATTGTCCGGAAACAGTTACTGGCTCCAGCAGACTTCAGTTCCAGTCTTTAATGACGCGGTGTCATGGCGCTGAAAGTCCCTCCGTTGCTAGACTGTGATATATTGTTCCTAATCCCGCAGTCTTCTGTTATTTTTATTTTTAAATAAAAAATCAGCGGTTGGTGATAATTTACGACAGGCCTGTCTTCTTCTTCTTCTTCTTCTTCTTCTTCTTCTTCTTCTTCTTCTTCTTCTTCTTCTTCTTCTTCTTCTTCTTCTTCTTCTTCTTCTTCTTCTTCTTCTTCTTCTTCTTCTTCTTCTTCTTCTTCTTCTTCTTCTTCTTCTTCTTCTTCTTCTTCTTCTTCTTCTTCTTCTTCTTCTTCTTCTTCTTCTTCTTCTTCTTCTTCTTCTTCTTCTTGTGTGTGTATGTATGTATGTATGTATGTATGTATGTATGTATGTATGTATGCATGTGAGTGTAAATGTGTGGTTGTGGGCGTATGTGGGTGTCTGTACATGTGATTGTATGCGTGTGTATGCATGCATGCATGTTTAGGTGTGTATGTATGGAATGAATGTGTGTGTGCATGTATGTCAATATGTGTATGTGTCTGTCTTTTCTGTTTGTGCATGTATGTAGATGCGTGTATGTATGTATTAGGTATGTCTGTATATGAATGTGCATGTATGAGAATGTAAGAGTATAAATACGTGTGTGTGTGTGTGTGTGTGTGTGTGTCTTTAAGATTGTGTACACATAATGTGTGTATGCATTATTCTATAAATACTCTGTAGCTCTCTTCATCATGTTTTAAAAAAAAAAAAAATCTACCTTTATTTATATGTCTCTGTTACAATGCAAAGACTTTCTAGTTATATTGTTCTGAGGTTTCCTTAACGTGTCTCCTATCCACTGTCAGCGTCTTTTCTTCACCTCTTGGTCCACTGGAACTTGTTTAGTTCTCTCCCACAGCTCTACTTCAGTGAGTCCTGTCTGGCCCCAAACAATAATAAAGCAGCAAATATACTGGATATGTTAAACAAGATTTGCAAGTTTCCATACATGTGAATATTTAGCAAAAGTCAGGTCCTCATTTTTGTCATTAGGCTCTTAGGGCATGGTGCTAACACGGGGCAATCCACTGGCAAATCTTGGCTGGGATAATTCAACCAGACCCCGGTCTGTGGTCAGGCAGTTAAAATGACGTTTTAACTGTAGCTGACTCCAGAAGTGTAGTTTCTAGAATTTTAAGTTTAAAATAAATATAAAAATTTCCTGGACCGTGTTGCATGGTGGGAGCACCTCAGGAAGAGAATGAGAATGAAGGAAGACATGGCTCTTGAAAAGTCGAGAGCTAAGCGTCTGAGAAGACATGGCTCGAGAAAGGACGAGAGCCAAGCGTCTGAGAAGACATGGCTCGAGAAAGGAGGAGAGCCAAGCGTCTGAGAAGATACGCTAAACAGAATTAATGGAAACTACGGTCATGAAATCCCATGCTGTAATTGTGGTAGACTTTTCCTAACTCGGACGGGTCTTGCTAGTCACACTCGCCATCGCCATGGGCTGTGAGTCCCATGCCTCCACATAGCACAGTATAACACTATCGTTTGGAAAGACGGAAAGGTGGCAGTACGTTTAATGTATTTCGAGTGTACTGTTAAAATAATTATAATAATCATGTTGTTGATATTCTTTGCAAATATTTCCACTGATCTGAGAAACCATTATTCCGTTTGAAGCTCTGTTCGTACGATGCACTGTTTAATCTTTAAGTTTAGTTCTTTAGAACAATCTATTCCCAGCATCTTTTCTACTACCATACATTTTTCTTTGGAGTTCATATTTATTGCAATATATTAAACACCGAAGCATACCGCACGGCAACAAATGAGTCGGTCACTGATGATCCTGGAAGGGTAAATGTAAAAACTGTGATCAGAAACACATGTTTCATTCTACTCACGAGAGTTGCCAATAAGAGTTAGATATTTCTGTCTGATCTCGGTCAAGTCCACGTTCTTTGGCAGCTCGGACTTTGATGGTGCCGGCAAGTTGGGTGACAGGATCTCTAGACTGATTCTCCGAAACTTCTTATGGTCGCTGTTTCTGGACACAACCTCTCCCTTTCCTGTCTTGTCTGGTCTGGTGATATTCTTGGCATTGTTACTCTGTACTTTATTGTTTGAACTTTGAAACCCAGAAGGTGTGGTCTAAAAAGTACAAACAAAAAAGAGACTATTTGTATGTCATCAATTGACAGCTCGTAAGAACTGAATTTGTGACGTTTTCTATAGAAATACTAGTTATCTGCCCTCTGTGTAACTACCGTGTTTCTGTTGAAATAACTCGAATCAAGCTACAGTTATCTGTGCTTAATAAATATATCATTGACATTTGGCTCTAAATCTCCCTTGTGTACTGTCTGATTGTTATGTTGTGAACCTCTTTTGTGAACTGTCCAATTGTCATGCTGTAAACCTCCCTTGTGTACTCTCCGATTGTCATGCTGTAAACCTCCCTTGTGTACTGTCTGATTGTCATGCTGTGAACCTCCTTTGTGTACTGTCTGATTGTCATGTTGTAAACCTCCTTTGTGTACTGTCTGATTGTCATGCTGTAAACCTCCCTTGTGTACTGTCTGATTGTCATGTTGTGAACCTCCCTTGTGAACTGTCCGATTGTCATGTTGTGAACCTACCTTGTGTACTGTCTGATTGTCATGATGTTGTAAACCTCCCTTGTGTACTGTCTGATTGTCATGTTGTAAACCTCCCTTGTGTACTGTCTGATTGTCATGCTGTAAACCTCCCTTGTGTACTGTCTGATTGTCATGTTGTAAACCTCCCTTGTGAACTGTCCGATTGTCATGTTGTGAACCTACCTTGTGTACTGTCTGATTGTCATGTTGTAAACCTCCCTTGTGTACTGTCTGATTGTCATGATGTTGTAAGCCTCCCTTGTGTACTGTCTGATTGTCATGTTGTGAACCTCCCTTGTGTACTGTCTGATTGTCATGTTGTGAACCTCCCTTGTGTACTGTCTGATTGTCATGATGTTGTTAACCTCCCTTGTGTACTGTCTGATTGTCATGATGTTGTAAACCTCCCTTGTGTACTGTCTGATTGTCATGATGTTGTAAACCTCCCTTGTGTACTGTCTGATTGTCATGTTGTAAACCTCCCTTGTGTACTGTCTGATTGTCATGATGTTGTAAACCTCCCTTGTGTACTGTCTGATTGTCATGCTGTAAACCTCCCTTGTGTACTGTCTGATTGTCTTGTTGTGAACCTCCCTTGTGTACTGTCTGATTGTCATGCTGTAAACCTCTCTTGTGTACTGTCTGATTGTCATGTTGTAAACCTCTCTTGTGTACTGTCTGATTGTCATGTTGTAAACCTCCCTTGTGTACTGTCTGATTGTCATGTTGTAAACCTCTCTTGTGTACTGTCTGATTGTCATGTTGTAAACCTCTCTTGTGTACTGTCTGATTGTCATGTTGTAAACCTCTCTTGTGTACTGTCTGATTGTCATGTTGTAAACCTCACTTGTGTACTGTCTGATTGTCTTGTTGTAAACCTCCCTTGTGTACTGTCTGATTGTCATGTTGTAAACCTCTCTTGTGTACTGTCTGATTGTCATGTTGTAAACCTCCCTTGTGTACTGTCTGATTGTCATGATGTTGTAAACCTCCCTTGTGTACTGTCTGATTGTCATGTTGTAAACCTCCCTTGTGTACTGTCTGATTGTCATGATGTTGTAAACCTCCCTTGTGTACTGTCTGATTGTCATGCTGTAAACCTCCCCTGTGTACTGTCTGATTGTCTTGTTGTGAACCTCCCTTGTGTACTGTCTGATTGTCATGCTGTAAACCTCTCTTGTGTACTGTCTGATTGTCATGTTGTAAACCTCTCTTGTGTACTGTCTGATTGTCATGTTGTAAACCTCCCTTGTGTACTGTCTGATTGTCATGTTGTAAACCTCTCTTGTGTACTGTCTGATTGTCATGTTGTAAACCTCTCTTGTGTACTGTCTGATTGTCATGTTGTAAACCTCTCTTGTGTACTGTCTGATTGTCATGTTGTAAACCTCACTTGTGTACTGTCTGATTGTCTTGTTGTAAACCTCCCTTGTGTACTGTCTGATTGTCATGTTGTAAACCTCTCTTGTGTACTGTCTGATTGTCATGTTGTAAACCTCTCTTGTGTACTGTCTGATTGTCATGTTGTAAACCTCTCTTGTGTACTGTCTGATTGTCTTGTTGTAAACCTCACTTGTGTACTGTCTGATTGTCATGTTGTAAACCTCTCTTGTGTACTGTCTGATTGTCATGTTGTAAACCTCCCTTGTGTACTGTCTGATTGTCATGTTGTAAACCTCACTTGTGTACTGTCTGATTGTCATGTTGTAAACCTCTCTTGTGTACTGTCTGATTGTCATGATGCTGTAAACCTCCCTTGTGTACTGTCTGATTGTCACGATGCTGTAAACCTCCCTTGTGTACTGTCTGATTGTCATGTTGTAAACCTCCCTTGTGTACTGTCTGATTGTCATGTTGTAAACCTCCCTTGTGTACTGTCTGATTGTCACGATGCTGTATATTATACTCGAAAAGACAAGGATGTTTATCACAGGTTGTTTGCAAATCTGTCTGTGTAATCGGATTAAAATTATAAAACGTGCATTAAATTAAAGATTAAGAACACATTCCGATCAAAACGTATCCGCATGCTGTCTATTTGACCTATTTGATGATAGCAAATGCCCACTACAAAGGAATCTGTCCCATACAAGACCAAAAATACCGGGTGTCATCAAGACAAAACAAGCACACTAATATTTGGACACTAAATTACCAGTCGCTGGTGATTGTTTCGTTTGTTATTTGACACTTTTTACTTATGTGGATGTTTGTCTCCAAGTTCTGGTGAACAGATCTCTTGTTTTTTTTTTTTTTTTTATTCTTCTTAGAATGCGATTTTATTATTTTATTGTAGGCGTGGTGATCTTGTCATACACTCCATAAGTGGGCCACCCAAAGCAGGTAAGAGAGCACTGCTCTAAAGTGAGGTCAACAAGAGTTGTGGCTACTTACTTGCGCAGACATGTCAGAGGCTGAGGTTTCCAATGAGGTGTTATTAATCCGTGATTTGGCTGCACACGATGATGACGTGACCACAGTGTTAGAAACACTAGCTGGCGCCAGTGTTAGTTTACTTGAAGAGCTTGACGTTTTCTCGAAGATTTCGCTCAGAACTGAGTTTCTCGTCGGCCGGAGTGCACTGCGAAAATCTATGACTATACCATCATCCCTTGAAGACGGAGATGTCGTTTTCTGTGTCGTTGTTGTTGTTGTTGTTGGTGATGGTGATGATGATGACGACGTAGTTGTAGTTGTCGTTGATATTGTTACCAAGTCTGCTAAATCTGCGTTCCTTGGTGGAAACCGATTAAATGTTTTAGATTTTGTTTCGTTAAACTGTGCGAATTTTTGATGCACTTTGTCCACAACATTACTGCTACTGGATTGTTTCGTTAAGTGTTGATCCGATGACAGATTTGTCGATGTAATGTTAGACTTTATTGTTGCAGAAGTGTTTGCTTTTGTTGGTTTCCTGTCCGTGGATTGTTGCTCTTGAGTGGTGCTGTTTTTGACAGCGAGTACGTTACTCTGTGCAGAGTTGTAATGATTTGCTGAGGTTGCTGTACCAGATGTTGTCCACGGAGCACGGTTGTTTGTCGTTTCTCCAAACTTCTGCCCCTTGTCCAAAGTAGAAGACTTTACTTTGGTTTGAACATCCGAGCTTACAGGCGAAGTGGCAGCCTCCTGAACCGGTGAGTCTTCGGAGGCCTGTCTTTGCATCTGTTGCAGTCTCTGAAGGACAGCCGGAATGTTCTTGCTGTTTACAGGTTTGATGGCGATCTGCGATCTGACGTCGGCCATGTTGTTTGTGCTAGTCGAGTGAAGTCACGAGGTTCTTGGTGGGGTGCCTGGGGAATATCAGATGTGTCAAGGGCAGTGTCGGATTTAAGCATCAGCTAAGCTACAACTTAGGGCCTCAAAATCTCTAGGGGCTTCAACTAATTCCTATTTTTTTCAGAAGTGCAATTTGTTTTTCAGAGCCTTAAAATGGTTATATAATATGATTTCTACGATTTTGCCTACACAGTCTTTATAGAATTATAGAATATGACAAGATAAATAAAGAAATAAGGCATACGTGTATAAAGGCAAAAGAAGAGTGGCTAAATGAACAATGCAATAAAGCTGAACACAGTCCTGTTAAAGATGCAGAAAGTGTGCATAAACAAATTAACGATCTAACTGGAAGAAAGATACGAGTAAACACAGGATGTCTGAAATCAAAAGCAGGAGAGATCTTAATGGAGGAAGATGATATAATAACTAGATGGAATGAATACATAAAAGAGTTATATTATGGAAAGAGAGCGGAATTACCAGAAGAAAGAAATTTAGAAGGTCCGTCGATACTAAAGGAAGAAGTTAGTTTTTGTTAATCTGCTCATTGTAATTGCTGTCTTAACTGTCCTGATGTAGATTTCTTGATGCAGCGATAGTTTATTTTCACTGTGGGTCCTCGATGTGTAAAATGGTTAACTGTCTCCAGCTCTTGACTATCAATGTAGACTGCAGGTCTGTCATCAGCTGCTTCCTGCACCACAATCTTTGTCTTCTTGTTGATTGTCAGACCTCATTCAAAACAGGAGCAAATGCAGACAGTAAACATTAGAGTTCCTCATCAGAATGTTTGGTCATTGGTGCATCCTCTGCAAACAGCAGCTCTCTGATAAATATCTTCCTGATCCTGGTTTTTGGCTTTCACCTTCCTAATCCTGGTATTTGGCTTTCACCTTCCTAATCCTGGTTTTTGGCCTTCACCTTCCTAATCCTGGTTTTTGGCTTTCACCTTCCTAATCCTGGTATTTGGCTTTCACCTTTCTAATCCTGGTTTGTGGATTTCACCTTCCGAATCCTGGTTTTTGGCTTTCACCTTCCTAATCCTGGTTTTTGGCTTTCACCTTCCTAAGCCTGGTTTTTGGCTTTTACCTTCCTAATCCTGGTTTTTGGCTTTCAGTTTATGAGTATTGTGAAAGCTGCCGTCAGATCGACAATGGATGAATACACTTCACTCTTAAACTAGAAAGGCATATTTAAAAAAGATTTTTTTTTTTAAATATCCCAAAAAGGGTA